TACATTTAATTTTTATTTTACTCTTTTTCACAGATGAGATTCATTATAATGCACCTGCAAGGCATATTTTTTAAATCATTTTTATATTTTTACAGATTCAACAATCAAGAATTGTTTCTTGTAGTCTACAGAATATCTCCATGATCTAAATGTTTATAATTAGTTTCGAAAAAAAAATTAATAACAAATATTTTTCACACGCACGCGGTGAAAGGCTAGGTGGGTTGTGGTGGGAGGCTGTCGTGCAATAGGAAATGGGGCTTAGTCAAGCAAAACAGGTTATTGATGTGAATTAGAATATCTACAAGAGAATACTAAATAGCTTCTATGGTGAGCTATAATTTATTAAGTATCACACGTGTGTTTCTAGTATACTTCAACTCCATACAAATGAATAGTTTATACAATAATTATTTATGTATTTAATAAAGCAAATAAAGATGATGATGTAAATAAAATTAATTGATAACATTTGTCACTGTTTGTTGAAAATAGAGTTCAGATTGCACTGCATTAAGAAACATAGGAACACTGTGTTGTCTTTGTAAGTGACGCTCGATCAGAGTACCGAGAGTCGCAGAAAAAGCAGTTTCCAAAAGATCAACCCCTTCCTCGCCAACGTGAAAAAACAGAAAGTCATCAGGAGATTCGGCGTATTGACTGGACAACTTGTAACGTCCTTCTTTAGTTCTGTCGACTCTCCAACCAAATAATTGATAACAAGCTTGTCTATACTCTTGAGAAGACGCTTTAAACGCTTCCTTGAGACGTGCAATCTTTATTTCGTGAGTTTGCTTGAGTTCACCAATTTCTAAATAGTATAATATTAATAAATAAAATATATACTATAAATCACATGCATAACACACACACACACATAATGTATATGTTTAATAGTATACCTATATGTGCTATTGCACAACAATATAATATTTACCCTGTATTTGTAATGTAGACACTACTGTTCCTGTGCTTCCAGTAGCGACTTTTGTTCTCAGTTCTTCCAGCTCACGCAATAACACCTTACGCTTCTCCTCAGCTTGCTGTTCCGCTATTGCAGCAGGATTCATGGTAAAGTGTAATACCCTAGCATTACTATTAAAATCACCTTTCAAAGCTCGATGTTCTATTTCTCCTTTTAACCTTTCAATCTCTTCCCTCAACTTGTTGCATTCTTCTTTTTTATTATTACCTTCTACAGATTCCAGATCAGTTTCTAACTTTGCAACCAAGTCCCTAATTGATCATTCAAACGATAATTATTTTAGTTACTTGTATTTCATGCACTCCTATTGTATGCAACGATAGAATAATCTCAAGTACCTGTATCCTTCGATAGTACGTTCTAATGCAGGAACTCTTTCAAGCATCGCATTACTACTGTCGACAGTCATTTCTTTTTCATACAAATCTAATTGCTGCCTATAACTGTCTCTTTCTCTGGTTACAAGCATCATTTTCTTTTGCAATCTGCTAACTAGTTTATTCAATTTTTCTTTCGACGATGTCGCATCTATAGCTAATTGTTTAGCTTGCTCATAATTCTTTGACAAATTTTGACACTCCCTTTGTACTGCATCTAGTTTTGTTTTTAATTGACCTTCTTCTGCCATTAATACCGCTTCTGCTTGTTGAAGTCGATTTAATTCGCGTTTCAATGCGGAAGGTCCACCATTAATTCCTATTGATTCGTACTCGGAGAGACGAAGTAATAATTCAGATCTCTTAGTTTCCAACATTGCTATTTGTTGTTCTATTTTCTCCGTATGCTCTAATCTATATAAAATACATTAGAAATATAATATATTCAAAGGTTTATATATATATTTATTTAAGAGTTAAACCGATATAACCTTTTAGTTATGCTAGCCATTTGTTCTTCTAAAAGTAATTTTCCTCTAACCGATTCCCTCAAAACTGCTATTGTTTCCTTAGCTGCATTTAATTCTTTTTCAAATTCGCTTGCTTTTGCTGCTCTTGCCACCAATTGTTTACCTTCTTCCCAGAGCGCTTTCTCCGACTCTAATCTTTCCATTTTAATCTTGATATTTTGAAGTTCTACATTCTGTAACTCATAGTCCTTTTGAGATGCCCTACATTCTTTTAATTTTTCTTCCAATTGAGCTATTCTATCTTCGGCAGCTTGTAACTTCAATTGAACATCCGCTTGGGCTATATCATCTTTAGGTGGACAAGTTTTCTCTTGCACAGATGCATTTTTAAGATCCTCCAAAAGTTTAGCATTTTCATTTAATAACGTTACAGTTTTTTGTTCTAAATTAACTTTTACCTACTCATTAGAAATATTGAGAAAAAGAGAAAACAACAAGCGTATCATCGATAAGATCAATTGGTTAAAAAGAATAAAGAAGAAAGCAACTTATAATGAGTTTACCTGAGATAGTTCTTTCTCTGCGACAGTTTGTGCTTCGCGTGCTTCTTGAATAGTTCTTCTAGCAACGTCCAACCGCACTTCTAGCTGTTTAATTGTCTGCTTTTCTTGTTCTACTTGCATTTCTAAAAGATTTTTTTCTTTTTCAAATACTTCTTCCATTTGCCTTCGAATTTTATGAAGTTGTTGAACTGCCGCTTCTTGATGCGATAATCTTGTTTTTAAGGAAACTACCTAGCAATATATTAAGTTCAATGTTTACATTTATTCAATTAGTATTAGTATTTAATATATAATTATATGTATAGTATTTAATTATAATNTGGTAGTCCGTGGGAATGGAGAAGATTAAAAGGAGAAGTAATTATTATTATTATTAATCATTAAAGCACATATTATATATATATATATATATATAATATGTGCTTTAATGATTAATAATAATAATAATTACTTCTCCTTTTAATCTTCTCCATTCCCACGGACTACCAGGAACAGGATCACTTTCGCTTTTATTTAATATAGAATTACTGGCACCTGTATCGTCCAGTCTTGGACGTTTTGGAGAAATACTGCATGCATCTGTGCTATTAAAGATTGGTGGATTGTATGCAGTAGCAGATAGTCGAACGGAAACCCCACTATTTCGTCGGTAACCTTCTGAGCCAGATCGGAGGTCTTTAATCATTTTAATTACACTTGTAGGATCCTTATCATCCATCTATATGAAGAATAATGTATTTCTATAAGTGTCATAACAAATCTTTTTAACAAAGTATACTTTTCATTATTATTTCTAACCTAGTTTAGCACACCAAAACTAATTTTAGCTAAAAAAATTAAAATTGTAATATCTTACTATATCAAATTATAAAATGCACAACCTCATTAATATAGAATATAAACTAATGCTATACCGTCATCTAGCGGTGCACGCAATATAATAACTTTTCAAAATCAATATACATATACTTGCTATTGCTATCAATTTTTGGAAAATCTCTTTATAAAATATTATTTTGCACATTTTTGATAAATAATTTTAGTAACACTCTCTCTATATGGGTATACTAACCTTGCAAAACGAATTTATTTAGGTTATTCGTATAAATGAATTTGCATAAAGTTTAACAAAAAAAAGAAAATAAAGAAAAATAGTCTTTTATGTACATATGTATGTATGCAGCTCAAATGTGTTATGTACACACGCGTATGTATTATTTTTCCTCTGTTATTATAGAAAAGCTTAATGTATGCGCCTAAACAGATGTTGTATATGTATGTGTATGTATGTATGTATATATAAATTCTCTCAAAAAATGGACAAATTATAAATTTATTCATATATAGGGATTTTTTTTTCCCCACAAACTCGTCGAAATGGCGTCCAATAACATCGTGGATAGCATCGTCAGTCTAGGTTATATAAATCTGAATGCAACGTGTTCTGAACGAAACTTTCTCTCTTATTTCTATTCATCTGGTTCAATATAGAATCCTTTTTCTTTTGCAAAGTTGTACATATCTTTATTTAAAAATTCTCTACCGTTATCACACCTTAATTTTTTTATTCTTTTTCCGGTTAAATTTTCAACTAGATTTACGTAGTTTACAATACAGTCGTAAACTTCATTTTTTCCTTTCATAACATAAATTTTTGCTACTTTACTATAATCATCGATTAAAACTAGGAAATATTTTTCATCCCTAAACCTTATAGTTTTATGTGGTCCATTTACATCCGCGTGAATTATTTCACCTATGTCTTTTGATCTGTGCCTTTCATTTTTGAATTTAGTATTTGAGATGTGTACATTGTCTATTGCAAGGTTAAATGTATGTACTGTAGCGCAAGAGCATGTGTTGGTGTACTACTGTTCATGATAGAGACGCACACATGTCAGTCTCCCCTCTCTAGTCCATGTAAGATTAGTATATAAGGGACAGCGATGTAGCGTGTTCAATAATATTCAAAAATAATTAATTCAAATTTTCTCAAAACGCTATTTGTAAAGTCGATTGTCAAGATTTCTCGAAAACTATGTAACCGATCTTGATGATACTTGCAACACGTCTTCGAGATACTATTGACAAGGACTTGAACGAAGGATTTTTTTTTTTCATCGCATCTAATTTTAAGAAACCAAAATGTCGTGCATATTGTAGCGAAATTTGAATGTTTTTGCCAAAAACCTTGCTAAAAATCCAAATTTCCATTTTTTTTTTTCCTTTGTCCAATTTCTAATTTTAGGTATTCACTAAAAGACCCTTTTTTCCACTGAAAAACCCCCACCGTTTATGAGTTCTTCTGTCAACGCGAAAACACTTTTTTTCGGTGGGGTCACCGGAAATGACGTCGCAATGACGGAGTTTAAAATATTTGTCAACCAAAAATTCAGAAAATGTTCTTTAAATATGTATCTTAAATTTTATAAAAAGTTTGAATAAGAATTCCATTTTTTATATAGAAAACAAAATTGTTGAAAATATGCTATTTTTTCCCGGTGTAAACCCATATAACACCTTAATGAAAGATATTTCATACGTATACATTTGTAGAATTGTTTTGTTTGTCATGAGGATACACCCTAGTTAACATTTAAATATATCGAACGGTCATTTAATTATAATATATACATTTGAATGACTAAGCATAGGAAAACCGCAGTCACGAGTGACCATAGTGTAAGCCCTAAATTAGTAAGTTCATATATTTAATACGTAATCAAAGAGAAAAACCGAAAGAGAATTAGAAAAAAATTGTTTAAGTTACATTATCACAGGACTATATAAGTCGAAAAAATGAGCAAGTTGTTTAGTTTATTAATTTTTTTTGTGTTCATAAAAACAAACACGAATGCATTCACAAGCGATTTCGTTTATCCGAAATTGAAAAGATGCGTTCTTGATGAAAATGCAGATATGGGTAATCCTCTTTTTTTAACGCCGCTTATTGAAAGTGGAAAGATTGATGAAGCTCGAAAGAAATCTATTGTTGAACACAAGGAAATAGGCTCTGTTAGCAGTTATGCAGGCTATTTAACAGTAAATAAAGAGTACGATTCCAATTTATTTTTCTGGTTCTTCCCTGCTAAGGTATATATATATATATAAATTAGATATATATTAAGTATAAATTAATTAATAGCATTTTTCTTTTAAATTAGCACTTTTTCTTTCATATAGCATAATCCAAAGGATGCGCCAGTGGTATTGTGGTTAGAAGGTGGTCCAGGAGCAACTACCTTATTTGGTCTTTTCATCTTACACGGCCCATTTTTGGTTACTTCAAACATAACGCTTGCACCGCGTAATTATTCCTGGACCATTTCTCACAACTTAATTTACATTGATAGTCCTGTTGGCACTGGTTACAGCTTCACTAAGAATGATGAAGGCTATGCCAGGGATGAAACCCAAATAGGTAAAGAAATTAATACTGCTTTAGTACAGTTTTTTCAACTTTTTCCGGAACTTCAGAATAATGACTTTTTTGTTACTGGTGAATCTTATGCCGGCAAATATGTACCGGCTGTTTCTCATGCTATCAAAGATTACAATATTAATGCAAAAGTGAAAATAAATTTAAAAGGTTTGGCAATAGGAAATGGATATATAGATCCTGAGAATCAACTTGTATATGGCGATTACTTATATCAAATAGGATTAATAGATTTAAATCTAAAGAATTTATTCCATCAATATGAGACAAAAGCACGTGACTTAATTAAGCAAAAGAAATATGTAGATGCTTTAGAGTCGATTAACGTATTATTCTCTGGTGATCCGTCTATTTTGACAAATGCAACAGGTTTTCAATATTACTTTAATTATTTACGGACAGAGGATACTAATGAAACTCTATGGGTGTCAGAGTGGGCGCAAAGAGCAGATGTTAGACGTGCCATACATGTAGGCAATTGTACTTTTAATTTTACAAGTGAAATAGTTGAGAATTATTTGAAAACAGATATAATGCAATCTGTAGCTGTACTGGTATCAGATTTGTTACAACATTATAAAGTTCTCATTTATAATGGTCAACTTGATATTATTGTTGCATATCCGTATGTTCTTAATTTTTTGCAAAATTTGAAATGGCCTGGTGCAGAGAAATATAAAACGGTTGATCGGAAGCAGTGGTGGGTTGAAGATGAGTTGGCTGGTTATACAAAGTCTGTTGATAATCTAACAGAAGTTCTTGTACGAAATGCAGGTCATTTGGTTCCTTATGACCAACCTCGCTGGACTCTTGATCTTATTACTCGCTTCACGCGTAACAGACAATTCTAATCAGCAATCGTGTAGCGTGTAGTGGATTGTTGCCAAATTTATACGATACCTTTTATTATATGCATGAGGCTATTTTTATATAATAAATAGTTTTTTCTATAACGATAATAATATAAAGAAAAAGAGAAAGAGTTTATAAACAAGTGTAGAGGAATAGTTACTTCACAAACAAATAGATGCAAACTAGATTGGAAAAACTGCAAGATTGCGAAGTGAATACAAGGATGATGAACTGCAATTTTCGAGATGATAATAATAATAATAAAATTATATTATTTTATAGCTTTTTACATAAATATACTTATATTTGAAAAGATTCAAAGTTGATGACAATTGTAATCAACATTGGAGTTGTAAAAAATTGTTTCAGATTTAATAAAATGATATTTTAGTTTTTGAAGATATGCATATATATATATA